TGCCCAGGTGGGTCTCGAACCCGTGGGCTCAGGTAATCCACTCACCTCAACCTCCCAAAGCGCGGGATTACAGGCTGAGCCACTGAGCCCGGCTGGAAACTTTTCTTAATATAATAAAAGTATAATTCAGGAAGAAAAAATGTTTTCCTGTAGGAAGGTAAAATGATGAATAATAGCTTAGACATGGAAATACCAAATCATGATTGACACTGAAGTAAAAGAACTAGGCAGTCTTCTGCAGTATTCAATTTAAAGGTAGATATATTATGATATAACAAAAATATAACTTCAAAACTTCAATAAAACAGGCTGGGTGCACTGACTCAATGCTTGTAATCCCAGCACTTTGGGAGCCTGAGATCATCCTGTGCAACATGGGGAGAGAGCTCTATAATAAGTCAAAATATTAGCTAGGTGTGGTGGCATGTTCTTGTAATCCCAGCTACTTGGAAGGCTGAGGCAGAAGGATCACCTGAGTTCGGCAGGTGGAGGTTGCATTAACCGTTTGTGCCTATGCCCCTCCAGCCAGGTGACTGAATGAGACAAAGATTTAAAAAAAAAAAAAATGTAGCTAAAAGCAGAAGAATTTATTATTTTGAAAACTTCATATTGAGAACCTGTTTAAAAATTTTTGGTGCTTCTATTGCAAATTTGTAGATTATTATTTTATGAAATGATTTGTACCAAAGGACAAATACAGACATTGAACACAAACTTCTAAACACTCATAAGGACTGGGTCATGTGGCCATGACAGGGTTGAATAGGATGAGATAATGAAGTCTTCCCAGTACATGTCCTCATAGAAACTCACCAGCTGAGTGGCCCTTTTCTCTAGGAAGCCTTAAGGGGAGAAGCTGGTGCTGTGGAGATTCTTGGATCACCTCTGATGCCTGGATAAGAGTATCACCACGTATGCGTTTGACCTCAGCATGATTCCTACAAAGGAGAGGTCCCAGAACACCACCAGTGTGAAAACTAGTCTCTTTATGATGGAGATCTTGGGGAAAAGTGAGCAGTATTTACTGACATTTACTAGATCGATCTGGGTCACATTGGAATAAGCTACAGTGTAGGTGATAATTTAAGTACTAAATTGAGGAACACAAAAGCAAGGATGTTGGAAAATTTCTAAGTTTATATTTAAGCAACCGAGGCTAATTTTTTTCATTTATTGTAGAAACAAGATCTCGCCATGTTGCTTAGGCTGGTCTCGAACCCCTGGGCTCAGGCAATTCTCTTGCCTCAGCCTCCCAAATTGGTGGGAATACAGGCTTGAGCCACTGCGCCCGGCCTGTGAACTCATTTTCTTAGGTAGCTTTGGCCTTGTGGCTTTTGGTCTCAGTCTTTGTCAACAAAACAGATCTCTCTCAATAACCCAACCTTTAAAATGAGTAAAACACAATGTAAGATTTCCCAGTGTATCCCT